TTTATTTTTATTGTGCCTGGGTGCAAATTTACATAGCAGCTTGTTTTACATTCAACAGTTCATGCACATCTGATTTTACAGCCCCAATTACTGTCCCCAACTATAAAAAAATCTCTCCTCCCCTCTCTTCCCTGTGACCACCTCCTCCCTGTGCTTTCTTATCCGTGCATTCCTGTCTGTCCAGCTTTCTCTCTATGTGAGTGCTACCCCTCTGATATCTCACAGCTGATTGACCCAAAGGATGCATCTACCTAGAGTAGATGGGTATTTCAACCTGGGGTAGGTATTTTGTATGTAGATCTATCTATTGCTGGATTGAGAACCAATCCATGGAAGTGAGTCCATTTCTAGGCCCAAAGAGTAACCCAGGGCCATAGTCTTAAGGGTTCCATCAGTCTCTTTCCTACCAGAAATTCTGGTCATTTTTGTGTTTTTGAATTTTGTTCTACATTTTCCCTCAGTCCATTCAGGATCTCCAGATTTGATCCCTTTCCAAGTGGTTGGCATTGGTAGCCAGGCACCATCTAGTTCTTCTAGTCTCAGGTCATGTAGGCTGAGGTCCTCATGGTCTGTCTTTTCTTTGGACTAATTGTTTCCAGATGCTTTTGATTTTTTTCACTCTTTTTTGATTCAAATGAGAGGAGAGCAGTAGTTGCATCTTAGATGGCTGCTCAGAAGCTTTTAAGACCCAAGTTGGTACTCACCAAATTATGTTATAGAACAAAATTTTTATGAACTATGTGTGCCAATGAGCTTGATGGCCCCCAAGACTATGGGCCTGAGCTCCCAGGCCTGGTGGTTCTCACTCACAAGACGTTTGGCTGTCTCTGAGAAGTTACCCCAACCCTCTCTTCTGTTGCTTCTGTAATGTATGTGGCTAATTTTGTAACACAGGTGCATATGTAAGATTATCTTCAGCCACATATCTCCTTGGTCTAGGGTGTATTGTTCACCTATCCCCAACTGTTCTTCTCATCTGTCTATGCATTAATCTGTAGCCTGGTATTTGGTGCTAGTGATTCTGTAGTGTTGTGCATGTAATAGTATTTGCCTCTGTTGTCTATATCTTTTGTGTACATTTCAGTTTCTTTCCTTTCCCCAGTGTAACCATGCTGGTCATAGACATTTTTCCATATCTTTCCTTCCCTACCCCAAATCAACAAGTGACCCCCAAATAGTCCAAGATTTTCCCTCCTCTTCTCTTCCTTCCCTGGTAACCAACAAAGTGAGTTTCCTTCCCTGGTAACCAACAAAGTGAGTTTCCTTCCCTGATAACCAACAAAGTGAGTTTCCTTCCCTGAATAAACTTTCCTTGACTTTTTATAATAGTGGGCTCATACAATATTTATCTTTCTATGATTGACTTATTTCACTCAGCATGTTGTTGTTGTTATTCACTCAGCATAATATCCTCTAAATTCATCCATGTTTCAAGATGATTTGTGTATTCTTCATTATTCTTTAATGTTGCATAGTATTCCATTATCTCCAAAATTTATAGAAAACTTCAACACCTCAACACCAAAAAGACAAACAACCCAATTCAAAAATGGCCAAAAGACTTAAACAGACCCTTCACTAAAGACGAGGTGAGGGTGGCCAACAAACACATGAGGAAATGTCCAAGCTCATTAGCCATTAGAAAGATGCAAATGAAAACAATGAGATATTATCTCACTCCAGCAATGAGAACAAAGTTCAAGAATACAGAAAATAATAAATGCTGGTAAGGCTGTGGAAAGATTGGAACCCTTATACACTGCTGGAGGGACTACAAAATGGTACAACCATTCTGGAAAATGATATGGCATTTCCTTAAAAAACTGAAAATAGAAATACCATTTGATCCAGCAATTCTATTACTAGGAATATATCTTAAAGAGGTGAGAGATAGAACACAAATAGACATATGCACACCAATGTTCATTGTAGCACAATTCACTATAGCAGAGATGGAAATAACCTAAATACCCATCAACAGATGATTGGATAACCAAATTATGGTGCGTTCACACAGTGTGCTACTATTTTCAGTATTCTTTAAAGGCATCAGCTCTTTTTCAGTCTTCCTTATTCATTGTTGAGCTTACACATGCATATGAAGCAATTGAAATACCATGGTTTGTATTAGGTGCACCTAAGTCTTCAAGGGAGCTCTGGTAGCATAGTGGCTAAAGCACTTGACTGCTAACCAGAAGGCTGGCGGTTCAAACTCACCAGCCACTCCTCGGAAGGAAGGTTGGGCAATCCTACTTCCGTAGTGATACTGCCTCGGAAACCCAAGGAGGG